CCCCCCCCCCACAGGGGGCTCAGCTTCTAGGCCTCCTCTAGCACGGCGAGATCGACACGCCACTTTTGTTCCCCGGGAGAATCTCCGAGTCAGCGCCTCTGGGCCCCTCAGCATTTCGCACATCACACAAACTGCTGACCTAAATCCACCGCCTTGCTGGGAATTCCCTGACACCGCGGCCGGGCGCACAATGCACATCATACACTGCTACACTGCTTCCCCAGGGGGCGCTGTCCTGGGGTTTCCCTCTCACAGCCTGGGGGGGCGGGGCATATCGCGTGTGTAAGTGCTGCAGCACCTGGGCTCAGAATTTACATGTGAAGGTGTCACGGCATCCTCTGCTTGGCTTGGGGGGGGGGTCTGTACCGGCTAGATCACCCAGCCCAAATGACCTCTCTCTGATGGTGGTGTTTAATACGGCCGTGGGGTACTCAGAGATGGGGCCATGAGTGGTGTGTGTGTTTCTATTGGGGGGTGGGGGGCAGTGATTTTACAAACAGAAGCTGAAGATGAAAATATTTATTGCTGGAGCACAGAGCCCCCCAGGAGGACACGAGCAGGAAACGCGCATCGTCTCATTACCTAATGGCTCCATGTGACACGACCCCCCCCTTACAGGTTAACCATAATGCATCTTGAGTTCCACGCCTCATCCCCAGCACATATGGAAAGATGACAATCACATGTGAACTGTCCCCGATGTCAGTGCCCCCGTGCACAAGTGTGAAGTCATCAGTGTGACTGAATCCGTGCTACTTTCTGTTTCCTAAAAACAGGTCCGCCGCTTATTATAGTTTTAAATTACTTTGTTTTTTAAAAAGCCCGACAAAGGGGAAAAACAAACACCTCCAAACCCCCCCCCCCCCATGGCAGCCACACAATACAAAGGTAAATTTAAGCCCTGTTACAAAGATCAGCAGTGTGCTGCTTTTACATACGTCACCTATAATAAGAGCATCTGCGCTATTACTGCACACATTCGGTATTTAAACGTAAAGGTCCATTAGGCGGAATCTGGGTCATTCCTTATATTAAAATGAATTAGTCTTTTTTTGGCATTTCGAAAACATCGTTACGTTAAAAAGGTCAAGTGCCAAGAGGACGGGAGTGAACACTGATGGCAGGGTGAGCCCCCCCCCCCTTCTTTCAGCTCCCACCATCTGAGATGTCACATGGATCGACATCTGTCACTTCCCCTGTATCCCCCCCTCCCCCCCACCCACGTTCGCATCTTCGAAATGCCTCTACTGGATGCCACATGGAAGCAGCCGACGTGGCTTAAAGGGGCAGCACACCCCCAAACTGAAAACGGTATGTTTTAGAGGGGCTTTAGTGCTACCATCTGCCCCTGGGGGGGTGTCTACCTTTGGAGACATCTGATCTTACAGCCCCTTGATAGCACATATGCTAATGAGGGGAGATGCTAATGGCGCTGTTTGGCTGATAAAGACATTTATCGGGGGAAATGAAGGGAAAGCCTGTAAGAGAAAAATAGTTTCTGTTGGGTCAAAGCCAGAACTCCAGAGCAGAGCCCTCATCTTCGCCAAAATGACCCCCCCCCCCCCCCCCCCGTACACTCAGACGGGGGGGCGGTCTGTGCCGACACATGTTGGTAAATTAGGCTTTAATTGGCCACGTTGCGTTAGCAGATTGTAGCAGCCGTCCGCAGGGAAGGCGTGTCGGGACGGCGACTCACCCCGGGCAAGCGGCCAAAAGCGAAAGCGGCGTTTTTAGACGTCACATGGCAGCAGCGCCCCCCCACCACCGGAGCGCATTAAGGCCGCGGCCCCCCAGTCCACATCCACTCATTTGTGCTGATTACGTTACATCACAGGAGGTAGCGCACGCGGTAAAAGCCATGATATTTTAGACAGTGGTATTTTTGGAACCCCCCCGGTTGGGATTGACATCCGCTGGTATCTGGGGTGTGGACCATCTGAAGAGTGATGTCATGGTTCTGTAAATCCAGGGTGGGGCGTTTACTGGCGGAAAGTGGTGCGGCACCTGTGACAGGACACTGCCTCGGCGCTAATGAGAGCGAATGGAGCCAGTGCGCTGCGAATGGAGCCAGTGCGCTGCGAATGGAGCCAGTGCGCTGCGAATGGAGCCAGTGCGCTTCACGTTTCATCCTGGTCCACATGTGCACACGGCGTCTGGTACAGTGACATGATTCAGGGGGCTGAAGGTCAGAAAGTGAAGGAGCAGCTCCTATCTGCTCATGGCGTGGCGATGGGGTCGGGTCCCCGTATGGAGCGGAATGCGGACACATGTCACCCCGGGCGAGGAACACCAGATCAGGTACCTTCTGCACCGGATGAAGAGCAGTAAATCCACACTCCTGTCAGGCGTCAGCCTGAAGGCTGAGCTCCTGTGAAATATCAGGGCTGATTACATCCGTCCTACAAGCTGAGCTGAAGACCAGCGGTGAACCACTGAAGGGTGTTCAGCCCAGCAGCCGGGAACGGCCATTCCTCTGTGTTTTATTCCTTTTTATTCCTCTCTACTAGCTAAGCTAAATGTACGCACACACCGCGAGGACACTAGTTACTCCCTTGTGACGGTGTCCTGCTGTTTTGAGTTCTTTTATGCTTGCAAACCCTATCAGCATTACAAGATTCTGAGATAATGTGCCTCATTTAGGGCGAAGCCATCAGGACGTCCCAGTTGGGGCTTCTGGAAGTGCCACCTTCTTCCCCAGCAGTCCTAACGCACGGCTTCTCCCATCTCCGCGCAGGACTACACGCTGACCATGTACTTCCAGCAGTACTGGAGGGACAAGCGGCTGGCATATTCCGGCATCCCGCTTAACCTGACGCTGGACAACCGTGTGGCGGATCAGCTCTGGGTCCCCGACACGTACTTCCTGAATGACAAGAAGTCCTTCGTGCACGGCGTGACAGTGAAGAACCGCATGATCCGGCTGCACCCAGACGGCACCGTGCTCTATGGTTTGAGGTAGGTCTCCTCTCCAGGCATTTCGGCCCCAGGATCCCGATTCCCCGGATCCAGGACCAGATATGGGATGGGAACCAAGCCTGGGGTTTGTGGGAGAGCCATGGTGGGAGGGGGGGCAGTGTGATAGAGCTTTTTATCTCCCCAGACCCCCTCCCCCTTCATGCCAAAGTCTTGACTTTCCCAACTCCCCAACGTTAATATGGTGAAGCAGCTTTCATATGTGTGTGACCGCATGCTAGCCTGGACGGAACATGCCTGGTGTGGGCTGGTGTCACATAAACACAGGCCAGGAAGACACCTGCCTTTCCTGTGCTCATTGATGTGGGGTTAGGGTTCCTGTGCTCCATCACCATGACTCAGAACCTGTCTGTCATCATGCAGCTCAAACGGTTTCGTCTCCTTTTTCCCTGAGGTCCACATGGCAATTTACTGTCCGAACAGCTGCTTTAAAACACACGGGAACACAGCCCAAGCGGATCTCACAGCTACCTCACTAGAGCTTTGGAGCCATGGTGGTGTTTAATAGTGCCATTCTGGGTTTACTGGTAGGTCTGAAAATCAAGACGCAAAGCACTAGGCCTGGAACCTTCACGGATTAATGCACACACTTATATGCTAATTTAGCCTCGCTAATGAAGCTCTACGATGAAGCTCATTAGCCTTTCAGCTTCAGTGATGGATTCTAAAAGGTCTTGCTGATAGAATCCTGAGTGACTAATCAGAATATTACAATTAAATATTCATTAATTACGTAGCATAGTGGCAAAGTAGAAAAAAAGCAAGCAAAATATTTTTTATGTTAATAAGAGATGGATTTTTTTTTTGTATAATTCAAAGATGAATTATAGTTTTTACCCAATTGTAAAGCTGGAAGTGTTACTAGAATAGGTCAAGTTACAGAAAGTCTTTGTAAGAACATGAAACAACGGTCTATGGGTGGACGGTCTGTGTCTTCAGGCGCTAAAGCTCATGTTGACGTCATACAGCTGAGAGATGCAAAAAAATCTCAGAATGGCCCGAAAAACTGTGATTGAGGGGCAAAAATTGCCCTCAAGATTTCGTAGAAAAGAAAGAAAAAAATATAAGCCACCATTTTTTAATTCATTTCATATAATTTCCATTTCCGTCTCTGTCACACTCATACCAATAGAGCTGCTGTTCACATTGTATATGTATGTAACTATATGTAACTAACTATGTATCACTGTGGAACATTGTTTAGATATCTGGCAGAGGCGAAATTTCACTTAGGGCTGGGCACTGTATTGGTTTTACGGTATATTGATATATTTTCAAAATGACGAGACAATTCCATTTATACTGATACACTTTTTAAAATTACTTACACTTACACTTGTTAAAATCAGGGTAAACAACACGAGAGCTTGGGTCGTGATGTAACACAGAATCCCAAAATCCACAGCTAAAATCAAGCTGTTCAATAAGCTTCTCACGAGATATGGGATGGAGGCAAATAATAATTGGTACTTGTTTAATTTATTTTAAAACACTGCAAAATGTTCAACAGGTTGAAAATACCATCATTTGCAATATTTGTTTCATTTTATACATAATCATAATCAAAGCCCGAAGATCACTAAGGCGTCCCATTGAATTTCCCAGCATCCTTTGCAGGTTTAAGAGCTATGAGACAATTAGCCTGTTACTACAGGAGTTAAAGTAATGGCTCACGGAGGGCTGTGCTATATATAACTGCACTTAGTGCATTTCAAATTGCATTTTGCCAGCTGCCCGGTATCACTGGCCAGCAAGGCACATGTTGGGCGTGTGTTTGGCAGTGGGATTCCTGTAGGGGCTGTCACTGGCACTCCGGTCTATACTGTCAGATCTATACCAGTCAGATCTATACCGGTCAGGCAGGGGCTGTAGGCTCCCTGTTGGGGGGGGATGTCCCAGAGAGTTCCCCCCCCCACCCACTGTGATCTGGGGAAGTTCTTCACCAGCCAAGATGCCTAATGCCTACAGACACAGAACTTCAGGTGGAAGCGGCTTGGTGCCGGGAGAGCATGATGCTACGGCATCATCTGTGAGCGTAACCCTCCTGACAGCATCCCTGTAGCCGGGCTCATCTGTGAGCGTAACCCTCCTGACAGCATCCCTGTAGCCGGGCTCATCTGTGAGCGTAACCCTCCTGACAGCATCCCTGTAGCTGCAGACTGTCCCTGTTTCATAAATGTAACTTTTATATTCTCTCATGTATCTTTATGTACTCAGCCAGCAGTGGTTTCTGATTTAATTGGTCGGGATATTTCAGCTTTAGCGTGCCGTGGCAGGAGCTGGGATTACGGTAATTTCCGTGTTTTCCAGCGGCTTCCGAGGCCCTTGCAGACCACGGCGATAAAAATGCCCAGGTCTTGTTATGCACTGAGGCTCTGACTCTGGGCAGCTCTCTCCAGCAGCCAGTCTGTAGTGAGGAGGTAATTAAATCTCAGAAGAAGGTGGAGGTGTGAAATGTTGAGGCGGGGGGGGGGATCCATCTGACTGGAAACTGAGGGCTTTTCCTCCCTCAGGTGAAGGAAGAGAATGGAGCAGCAGGTTCACCTGTGATGCTGTGCTCGCCGTCCTGATACTCGTTATGTAATCATTTTACATTTAGTGGTTGCAGTTATCCAGAGACATGCAAATGATGCTAATTACAAAGCTGCATCAGACTGAAAAGCAGACAAGGTGTTTCATTACCAAGGAAGGCCCAATGTTGTCTGTAGGGACATTGTAATAATTAGTGATTTGTTCCTTTCATTATTATTATTAGCGTTTTACACACCAATAGTGCTGGATCCCTGTTGATCTTATAATAATAACAACAACAGCAACAACAATAGTTTATTATTATTATTATTATTATTATTATTATTATTATTATTATCATGACCCATCCATCCATCCATCCATCCATCCATCCAACCGCTTATCTAGCACAAAGCTGCCTATCTCAGGATGCCCATGGCAGGGCACAGGGCAGGGTACAGCCTGGATGGGATGCCAGTCCGTCACAGGGCACAGGGCACAGGGCACAGGGACAGCCTGGATGGGATGCCAGTCCGTCACAGGGCACAGGGCACAGGGACAGCCTGGATGGGATGCCAGTCCGTCACAGGGAACACACTCCCAAACTGATGAACCGGTAGTTGCATGTCTTTGGACTGCAGGAGCATCCAGTCAATTTTGCACATTTTTTATTGTAAGCTAATTAATTGTAATAATTTGGCACATGGCAGCATGTCGTCCGATTTCATCGAGGTTCTCGTGGCCATCGGTGCAGCTCTGCGGCCTGCGTGTCTCGCAGTGCTGACCAGGTGGCTGTGTCTCTCCCCTAAGGATCACCACCACGGCCGCCTGCATGATGGACCTCAGACGGTACCCCCTGGATGAGCAGAACTGCACTCTGGAAATCGAGAGCTGTGAGTTAAGCGACCCTGAGGGGCCTTCGCCGGCGTCCCCTCGCTGACGTGGCCCCTGGGCTCCGCTACGTTAGCGCCCCCCGCTGACGTGGCCCCTGAGCTCCGCTACGTTAGCGCCCCCCGCTGACGTGGCCCCTGGGCTCCGCTACGTTAGCGCCCCCGCTGACGTGGCCCCTGAGCTCCGCTACGTTAGCGCCCCCCGCTGACGTGGCCCCTGAGCTCCGCTACGTTAGCGCCCCCCACTGACGTGGCCCCTGAGCCCCGCTACGTTAGCGCCACGCTGCGGCCTTTGGTCCAGGAGACATGCAGACACTCGTCATGCTTTATTCTGACATGGAAGAGTGAAGTAGTGCTACCGCTCATCAGAATAATAATAATAATAATATAGAGTAGCACAACTCATGTCATTCTGAGAAAAAAAACTAAACTCAACCCAAAACACCCTCAGATGTGAACTAGCAAAGCCCAGAAATTTACTGTTTCAGTGCTGAGTTATTTTTTGCTGGTAAGAATCAAACATTTGAAATATCTATTTAATAAGCTCGTCAGCCATCATATTTCACAAACAGCGCATGGGATTTTCCGAACCCCCTCGTTAACAAAATTTGGCCTGACTCGTCGTAATCTAATTCATTAGCGATGACTTGAGATGTGGTGATTACCTCTACCTTCAAAAACATGTATTACACTGATACAGCATCACATCTAATTAAATTCATCCGTGAAATTATTTGCTGAACCCACCAGCTGCATTGAAACAACAAGATCTTTACCTAGTATAATTTGACTGTAACAGACCAATAGGGAGCTTATAGGAAATACTATTCTGAAATATGTCAGGCCAAGACAAAAATGCAAACAGAATGTCTGCAAGAGAATCTTATAAACACAGATAAACAATATCTTAGTTAACATTTCTGACCTGAAGGCTTATAACTGTTTTTGAATAACAAAGCGCTTTATGTGACAGTGTAGAACTGTTCAAACTGTGAACCTTTGCTCATTTACTACGATAAGCAGAAAGGGGTGCCTTTGCCGATTAGCTGGCTAACAGCATCGTCTGATGTTTTCTGCCTTTTTTTCAGTGTATCACTAATTTGGTCTGTAGCGTCCTTCTTGGTTTCCTGACCAGGGATTACAGATGTCAACCAAACGGTGACCACGGACAGTTCCTATCAAGCAAATTGATCAGTGAATAAGCCTCTGTTTTGCTGGCTGCAGATGGGTACACTACGGATGATATCGAATTCTATTGGAAGGGCGGAGACAGCGCTGTAACAGGGGTGGCGAGAATCGAGTTGCCACAGTTCTCGATTGTGGATTACAAGCTGGTCTCCAGAAACGTCGTCTTTTCCACAGGTATGGACCTTATCGCCTCTCTCCTGGTCACGGACATAAAGCTTCTTTTCCAAGTACTGAACTGTGACATCTAGCAATAGGTTTCCAGGAAAGCCACTTCAAAGCTTATCATTTTATCTCTGTAAAATACATGAGGGTTTTTTGTACAGGACCATTTCCAGAAATCAGGCCCAGATTATTCTAATTGACGTGTCTACGCTTTTCCATCAGCAGTTGCGGCCTACTTGTCCGTACCTCTTCATGCGAGGTCTTGCTTTTCGCCGACAGATTTCGCTCTCTGTGTTTGCACTTGAAGTGCTTGAACACGACTTAATTTGTCGCTTTGTGACCTTGATAACTTTGTTAAGTTTCCGATAAAAGCCATTACTGTTTGTGTTCGGAGGTCTGCCCCGACATCCCAGGGGAACAGTCACACACTTATTTGAAAGCCTGCCTAATTATAGAGTTTGCTTCTTCCATCATCTTGGCTCGATATCGCAGAAGAGCGATGAATGATGATGGAGTGGCAATTACCCATCCCTTTCTCCAAGACTGTTTTTTTTTTTTACACGTTCATCTCTCCATATGGGCCGCTTTGTATTCATGAAGGACAAGATCCACTGAATAAATGAGTCCCATCCAAAGCCCCCAAACTCTCATGAAAACAACATAACAGTACAGTCTTGTTCTTCACATCCTAAATTAGTGATATTCATGAAAGCAGTTTCCTTTTTTTGCCTGTGTAGACTAACTGTGGGAGGCAAAATCAAGGAAACAGTTTTGAAAATACCAAGTTTAAATGATGTTTTGTATTTGCAGGACTCAATACATTTCAGATCCTGATTGTATTAAAAGTTTGTTTACGGCTGTAAAGAGATGCTCAATTTCACATTCATATGCTTCAAAGGCCTTTTGTCTTCAAAGTGTGAACTTTTGATGTGAGTATTTTACCATCAAATCGTGTAGGCCATGCGCAGAAAGCTAGGCTATAACAAATCATGGTGTAATTTCAACTGCGGATGGTTGTTACCATGGTGACACACCCCAATCTATCCTACCATTGCCATAGAAACATAAAGTATGCCGGCGTGTTCTTCGACACAAATAGCATTTTCTCCGTTTCCAATCTTGTTTTCCTAGGTGCCTACCCACGTCTGTCACTGAGCTTCAAGCTGAAAAGAAACATCGGCTACTTCATCCTCCAGACATACATGCCCTCCATTTTGATCACCATCCTGTCGTGGGTGTCGTTCTGGATCAATTACGACGCCTCTGCTGCCAGAGTGGCTTTGGGTACGTCTGTTGTCTTCTCCGCATGTCCAGGTGGCCCCCAAGCGGGATGAGGGCGGACACGTGTCCTGGCGCCTTTTCGGCATGGCCGGCTCGCGCGCGGTTAAGCATAGACGCTACGCTCGTCGCTACAAAGAAAACACCAGGATCGGCAGAGAGGCATGTCAGCCAGGGTGAAGTTCATCAGTCAGAACCGAGTTCCAGACTTGCGTGGTCGCTGAGGTCCAGAGCCTCAGAAGCAATGGGAACGACCCAGGACGGGATGCCAGCCCATCGCAGTGAAGTTATATTTATACTTTATAATGTCCTCATTTTGACACTATTGAAAATGCTTATGCCAATGATCATGACTGAGCTACCTGCTCGCAGGTAAATCTGTGTTGTCAAGTGTGGGGAAGGTGTTTCTGCTGAAGCCTGCTTACTGCCAGACAGGTCCTGGGTGCTCAGTATCACCCGAGTCCATCGGCTCCTCCCCCCAGCTTTGCTTGCACCGCCATTGCAGAATAGGTAGGAGGCTGTATCCCCTAGGGGCACAGTCATGAGTCAGACACCTCCACTCTTCCCCAGGTCACAGCCGGCTGGCATTTTGGTCCACGTGTGGATCTGTGTGCAAAGAGGCCCTATCAGGGAATGGTGCCCCCTGTTGTTAAAGTAAAGGAAAGGACCTGGGAGCCAGTCAAAGGGCAGAAGCCTCCTTTGTAAAAAGCTCTTCCCACAGAGCCACCAGGCTGCTAATGCAGCCAGCAGTTAGCTATATCCCCACATAACAGTTAGCAGTTAGCTATTAGCTGTATCGCCACTTAACAGCCAGCAATTAGCTATTTCCCCACATAGCAGTTAGCTGTTAGCTACATCTGCACATAGCAGCTAGCAGTTAGCTGTTAGCTGTGTCTCCACTTAACAGCTAACAGTTAGCTATTAGCTGTATTACCACACAACAGTATCCCCACATAGCAGTTATCTGTTAGCTATAGCTACACAATGCAGCCAGCAGTTAGCTGTTAGCTGTGTCTCCACGTCACAGCCAAGCAATTAGCTGTTAGCTGTATCCCCCACATAGCAACTAACAGTAACCCACAGCGTCAGCCCCAGCAGTAACTTTGCTGTGATATTTTCACTGCGCTGTTTTTTATACATTGTTAAGAACAATCCTTTTATTGTACAGTTAAGTCTACGGTCTACAGTTTAATTATCACACATAAAAAGCTTCGAGCATGGGTGATAAACAAACAAGCCATTGTGAATTAGAACCAAGACTTGGTATGCATTTCATAAGGGCCGACAGAGAGCTGAAAGGGCTGGCATGGGTGGTGCGCTCCTGCCTGGGGGCGGTGCGCTCCTGCCTGGGGGCGGAGCCATTTCCTGTCTGCCACCACTTTAACCATTAACCAATGGCAGGAGGAAGTGACACGTACAGCAAGAGGAATGACGCGTGTTCTGCTCATCCCTGCTGACTCGCTCACCAGCCTCATTTTTCACACCACTAGCCCCAACCCTGTAAGTATCCTAACCCTGAATTTAATCAGCAGGTATGTGCCCTAATAAACGGGAACACGCATTATCTGTGTCAGCTAGCTGACTTCTCAGAGGTCAAATTATAAATGCAGATAAATAATCCCCAGTAATCAGGTGACCTCTGCTGGGCAAGATTGTGGGAGAGGAAATGGAGACCCGCCTGCATTTTCTTAGAGGGGTCAGTGTGTGAGAGTCACATGACCCAGTAGCTCGTAGCACCTGATTGGTCACTTAGAATAACTGAAGGTGTGGTCCATTACTGTTTCACCGGCCAGATATTGGGCTGTATGAATAAGATTATTAATAGAATAGTTGCGATTATTAAGACCCCCCTCCCCCAGCCCGCCCCAGCATTGTGTTCAGCAATCCGTGCTTCACACCCCCACGCATGTATCACACCAGGTGGATGTAGGCGCCGAGAGCCATGCACGGCCAGCTGGCCGCTCTCCCTGCGGCTCGGTTCTGCTGCAGGGACCCAACCGTCGCCTGAGCGAGGACTGGCGCACCAAAAAAAAAAAAAATGCGACACGACTGCAGAGTGCCGGTGACTGCATTTTCAGGGCAAATGCCTGCGTCTCACCTCGTTAGTGCTACATTATCATTAAATAATACGGTCTCTGCTTCATGAAAAATTAGTGCCGCTATTTACTTTTCGATTATATTTTCCACTGTTGGAATTAGATGCATCCTGCTTATATAATCAGACACTTAAGCGCAGACATAATTCAAAGCCAGGGACATCTGTCTGCATACCGTCGCAGGTCTTTAGCATTAGGGAATGCCCCTGCTTCTGCTAGCTGCTCGTTATCCTCTGATTATCCTCGAAAAGAATTCAATGATGCCTGGTTCTTTCCAGAATGCCTGATTAATATTATTCACTAAGCAGAGCAGAGTGGACTCTAAGTGTTTTGTAAAACGAGTAGCATTGCTGGTTACGGACATGGAGCAAAAAAAGTCCACTCATTCTGCTGTGGGACCTTCGGTTAGACCCTTGAAGGCCACTTAACTTCAATTGATTCAATCTAAAGCGTTTTAGGTATAAGAAGGGCTGTATGTTGTCTGGGTTATGAGCACATGATAAATGAGAATATCACAGCATTTGTATCACTTGCCCGAAGATGCAATTAGAACCATAATATTTAGTTGCCAAGTCATTGCAATAAAAATATAAATTATTACGTTTACATAATCCCTTAATTCCTTAATTGTAAAACCATAATGTAGATATTAAAATATCTTTAAAAAAAATCTAACTGTGTTACAAGGGTTGCAGTCAGGTAACCTGATAATGTGTCACAATAAGCAGTCATTAAAAACACACGCTGACCGAATGCTATTAGCTTAGCATGCAGGGCTCTTTCCGGTGGTTATACACCAGGCCCATTGCAGCTAAATTTAGCCACAAAAGCTGGCTGCATCCCGTCTTCTGAACGAAAAGCCGGCCAACAGGCATCTCCCGGAAATGTGGCGGCGAAGGCCTGCTCTCGATGGCCCACTCCTCTCATGGAGGAATGCTGCTTCAGCTCTGAAGCTCAGCGGCTTCATTTCTCACTGCTTCACTTACGTTCACATGCAAAGATCCCACTTCACTGCTCACCTTGTTTACTGGACTGTGGACACATTTTAATAGATACTGAAAACAGCACAGTGTGATCTATAGAAAAAAAATCATTACTGCAGATAGTATTTTTGAAGGGGCCTTAGAGCATAGAATAGAAGGCAGGGGACACCCTGGATGGGCTGTCAGTCAGTTACACAGAACCTGGAGTAGCCAGAGGACACCCCCCAGAAAGGGGCAGGCCCGGCCAGAGAGCCCCAGAGGAAATGTTCAGAAAAACACGAGGCACGGATTTAACTTGAATGAAAATTCCTTAGGAATCTGTTCCTATGTTGTTTCTTTACTGTAGCTGTTGCTCACATCAGTTTCCCGAGCAATAAAATCTGAATTTATTTTATTCTATATCGATCACATTTGGTCCTTTTCAAGAATTCTGCCATAATTTATATTCTGTCAGTAATTTACCAGAAACTAAGCATGATTGGGGGAGGGGGGCAATCACAGCAGAAAACACGTAGTCAGGCAGGAGTTTCGTGCGTGTGACAGGAGAGGCCACTGAGATTGAACCGACAGTGCGAATTCGCTGAGCACCAGAATTTTACTCTCCATAGATGGAAAAGTCAAAGGATGAAGTTTTGCAGAGAAAGATTGCAATTTCTCTGCTTATGGTGCATGTAATACAATTCATTTGCATGCATAGGCACCAAGATGTGATGAACACAATTAATGCGAATAAAAACTCAAATTGGCTGGAACTCACATTTAAATACTTGTGAGTACAAGTTATTTTGCATATTATATTGGATTGAATGGAATTTACGACCTGCAACGGTATTCAGATGAATGTCCCTGGCTTTGAATTATGTCTGCGCTTAAGTGTCTGATTATATAAGCGAATGGGGAGTCCATCCATCCATCCATTTTCTGAAACCACTGGTCCTATGCAGGGTTGCAGGTCTTCTGGAGCCCATGTGGTTGGGAATATAACTTTCAGTTTTTTACATTTTCAAACTCAGCTGCTTTTGTGCCATGAGATTCACCATCACTTGGAGTCACTGGGTGACGACTGTGGCTTCAGATCCTGCCCAGCTCCATACTTACAGATCCCTCCGGATGCCCACCAGAGCAGTGCTTGTGTGAGGATTACTCTGCTTGGTGTTTCCCAAAATCGCCGTGTCCCCGACCCCGCAGGCCGTCACTGAAAAGGGGCAGATCGATGGCTCTGTCACCTCACATTTATCTAACAACCTTCATATTCTTGGTGATGCTCCTTCTGTTTTCAAAGATATTTTAAATTGAGTTCCTTTGGAAAGGAGTGATAGTTTTATTTCCTTTGAATGAACTTCTTAAACTCATATGCCTATTTTTTTAACTACAAAGAATATTTTTTTAATTATGCAGAACGATCCGGCAAAGCTGTCGCCGTATTTGCTGTGATAAAAATTTAGAAAACTGTAATCAGCGAGTGACTGTGCAGCCCAGCAGTTGTTTTCATAATAATTTTAATTTTTAGCTTCTTCTTTGGAAGGTTCTGGAGCAGGTTCTGAGGCAGCTTGCATGGTCTTACTCATTAGGAAAGTCCCATATGGACAGCCCAGAGGTACTGTGCACTAAGGCTCAGTGTGTGTTAAGGGAACAGCACAAAATCGAAACCGAGAACTCGAATCCTGGCCGCAGCACGCGGGAGGTTCAGTCTGACCGGCCGAGCACAGAGAGGACGAGGGGGGGTGGGAGATTGGGGCTATTGAGCAATTGCTTCATAAAGTGGTATTTATCCCCATAGCCAGCAGTCGCGTGACGAAGAAGGGCCCACACACGTGTGAGCAGCCCTGTGATTAAATTGTCTAAAGAACGCTGAAGGACAGGCAGTGATCTAGCCCGCTAAAAAAAAAGAAAAAGACCCATAAAGAATTTGGCCAGCGGCAGGCGGGCCTGGAAGGCCGACAGATGAATACGCGGCTCACAGTCTGCTGCTCACAGAGCCCGCAGCAGAAGCAGGCAGACTGTGCTGTAATGTAGCCATAAATCAGGCCTGGAGCCAGATTCTTGTCTCCATGTTCTCCGACATGACTGGTGCTAATCCTTTGCACCTTACGTGTGGGAAAAGGTTTTTTTGGGGGGGGGGGGGGGGGGGGTGTGCAAAGGTGGTAGGAATACAAGGGTCATGATCATCGGAGGAGCAAAGTCTTGTGAGGAAAAGTCCTGTGAGAGGAAAGTGAGGGCTTGTTGAGCAGTGTGTAAGGTGAGCAACGTGTGAGGTGGGCAGCGTATGAGGTGAGCAGCGTATGAGGTGAGCAGCGTGTGAGGTGAGCAGCGTGTGAGGTGGGCAGCGTGTGAGGTGAGCAGCGTGTGAGGTGAGCAGCGTGTAAGGTAAACAGTGTGTGAGGTGAGCAGCGTGTGAGGTGAGCAGCGTGTAAGGTGAGCAGCATGTAAGGTGAGCAGCGTGTGAGATGAGCAGCGTGTGAGGTGAGCAGCGTGTGAGGTGAGCAGCATGTAAGGTGAGCAGCGTGTGAGGTAAACAGCGTGTGAGGTGAGCAGCGTGTGAGGTGAGCAGCGTGTAAGGTAAACAGTGTGTGAGGTGAGCAGCGTGTGAGGTGAGCAGCATGTAAGGTGAGCAGCGTGTGAGGTGAGCAGCATGTGAGGTGAGCAGCGTGTAAGGTGAGCAGTGTGTTAGGTGAGCAGCATGTAAGGTGAGCAGTGTGTAAGGTGGGCAGTGTGTAAGGTGAGCAGCGTGTAAGTTAGGCAGCATGTTAGGTGGGCAGTGTAAAAAGGGTCTTTTCGAGGGTCGCATGCCATCTCACTTTGAGCCCATGCTCATCCTCGACCTACATGCCGGTCTCCTATGACTCACCTTCATCCTGAGCTGTGTGCTGCTCCCCGCTCAGAGAGCAGCCACCTCAAACCCAAAACGCCCTCCTGACTTCAGCCTCAAATGGCGCCCTCTGATAGAGGCAGGGTCTTAGTGAAAGATTCGCCATTTGTGGTCAAGCAGCACATAACGGCCCTTACCTTAACCTGTACCTGCTTACTATGCAGTACTCGAAAAGAAAACAGTGAAGAAAAATCACTTCTATACTTACCCACAAGGAACCTCTAGTGGTAATATTTATATGTCATAAAATTATGAAATATCAAGCAGTAAACTCGATTTAATGGCAGTATCAGGCCATATAACATTTATAGGGGGGTAAGATGCACTCTTCATTGTTATTCTGTTTCTTATATAGGGACCCCCCCCCCACCCCTCTATTCCATGGAAGCATTATCCCTGATTTCATTTCTCAATATTCATTCAATTATCTCAACATATGTTAGTTCATTTTTTAATTATCAACTGTTTGAAATTACACTGTACCCTCCAGAAGCCTCAACATCTGGTACAACATCTGGGTGTTACGGAAACGGGGCTTGCTGAAGTTTGCTGCGGAGTGCCGGTTTGTGGTCTGAGGCGGTAACTCCAGGTGCCCGTAATGATATGGTTCGATTCAACGTGCACACTGAGATCAGTAAGTGGTTTAAATCACTGAAACAAAACTAGTGCTCACAGGTTTGAAAACTGGTTCAGTGTTGCTGTTGTCGGGGAATTGCCACTTGTCATTATTTGGGGACACTTATAAGGCTTCTTATCACATCGGTTGGGAAACTGGGCAGCACCGGCCCGGACGGGTCTGGAGACTGAATTGCCGATGTTGTCTTCTTACAGGAATCACCACGGTTCTGACCATGACGACCATCAACACCCACCTGCGGGAGACCTTACCTAAGATCCCGTACGTCAAGGCCATCGACATGTACCTGATGGGCTGCTTCGTCTTCGTCTTCCTCGCCCTGCTGGAGTACGCCTTCGTCAACTACATCTTCTTCGGGAGAGGGCCTCAGATGCAGAAGAAGCTGGCAGAGAAGGCAGAGAAGGCCAACAACGACCGGAGCAAATATGACAGAAACAAGGTAAAGGCCGCCCACCTGGGATCGTGGCTCCTCCCACCTGGGATTGTGGCTCCTCCCACCTGGGATGGTGGCTCCTCCCACCTGGGATCGTGGCTCCTCCCATCTGGGATCGTGGCTCCTCCCACCTGGGATCGTGGCCCCGCCCACCTGTGATCGTGGCCCCGCCCACACGCCTGAGACCACGGTCAGCTAAATGGTTTCCTTCCTGGTCTTTATTCAGTCAGCAGAGTAACTCTGGTTTCCTCTGAGATCATCAAACAAGCCTTTTTCTTCATTTTGGCATTTAACAGAATGCCACGAACAGTAAAACAACTGAAGATTAAAAATTAGGTTAAATGTTAGCCCTGGTGCTGGCAAGTCACTTGAAATCTCTCAGGATGAATTCCCAAGGAGATAAATGTAAACCCAATCAACCACAGAACATAGGCAGCCTCTCTCTCTGTTATCCAGGCACCGCGGTACCTGTTATTCAGATTAATTTCACTTATTCATATAGTCTGTGGGCTGGGACACTGAGACCATTTATTTGATCCGCTCGGTAATGAAAGCGTAGTCCACACTTATTTTGTGTTTCTATATGTCATGACAATAAACAAACGTTTTATAACCATTGTAACATCATTAGAGAATTCTTAATAAAACCGTTATTGTGCTATATGAGTTCTTTGTGTAAATGTAAGAATAAGCCATAAGGCTTTTGGGAGACATTTTTGCACACAATGCACAAGCCGTTGAGCTGCTAAGATATGGACCTTTTACTTCTGGCACCCGTTCCATGGTCAGCAGGAGTCGCTCGCGTATATGATTCGCTTATAGATTATACTGATTAATGATATATTGGTTTCCAAAGCTTAGAATCTACTGCTGTCCATAAACACACTGCTCACCTCACACGCTGCTCACCTCACACGCTGCTCACCTTACATGCTGCTCACCTCACACGCTGCTCACCTCACACGCTGCTCACCTTACTTGCTGCTCACCTCACACGCTGCTCACCTCACACGCTGCTCACCTTA